AAAAAAAAAAAAATCAAACAAACAAAGAAAAACCTCTCCAAAAAAATTTTAAAGGGATAAAACTCATACAAATAAGTTTCAAGGCATAATGGAATTAGCCTACGATTCAATAAAAAAGTATCTGGAAATTTTGTGAATATTTGGAATTAAGTAAGAAACATAAATAACCTATAGGTCAAAGAGGAATTCACAAGGGAAATTATAAGCATACTGAATTAAATAAAAATGAAAGTACAACATCTCAAAACTTGTAGGATACAACTATGACAGTGCTCAGAGGGAAATTAATACAGTCTCAAATAAGTTATCTAAGCTCTGAACCTAAGAAACAAGAAAACAAGAGAGCACAGGGGCATCAGAGTACTTTCTTGGGTAACAGAAGCACTCTATATACTGAGAAGACTGTGGGCTACACTGGTGAATCCACTTGTCAATGTTCAATAGTTAAGATTTATGCAGCTGGGAGCTGGCAGGTAGCGTGGTTAAGGTGCTGGACTCCCACGTGGTTGACTGCAGTTTGAATCTGGGACCTGAAGGCTTGATTTCTCACTTTCCCTTTCTCTCTCTGCCTAAAACAATAAAATGAACCATTCTTTTTAAAAAAAAAAAAAATTGTTCACTTTAATGTAAGTACCTTTTTCCTCAAAATAAAAATAATTTTATAAAGTAACATGGTGGAGGGCAAAAGTAGACATAAGTAAAGATAACAGAAGAACAGCAGACTCCTGATAACTGCTACAGTGGATACTTGGGTGTTCAATTCTTCTTTACTTTGAATACTGTTAAAACTTTCCATAATGAAAACTTTTTAAATATTAAATAATGAGAGAACATTATTTGAATTTTTAGAAGAAAATATAAAGTAGTACAAGTGTGCAAGCAGGGAGCATAATTAGTCTTAGGTTAGAGAAGGAAAACCAGAGAAAAAGTCACCTGGCTTCACATAGGACAGTGTTTGGGGGGGATAAATAGGGCCCACAAGGATGGATCACTGACTGGATATAGATTAGGAGGGAAAGACCGGTGGTAGCAAAAGGATGCTCAGGTTTCTGGCCTTAGCAAATGGTTGGCAGTGGCACTTTATTCAGATGGAAAACAGTTTAGAAAAAAGATCAAGAGTTCATTTCTGGAGATAAGCTTCAGATAGCCATGAGACAGCCAACTAAAGATATCAATAGGTAGCTGAATAGAGGAGTCTGGATTTTAGAAGGGCAACATGGACTGGAGATATTAATTAGGGGCTGCTGGTTCAGACTTGGGATTGTAAACATAAGTAAAGCACTTAGAATGATGCACGGTGTTACAAAAGTTTTTTTCAGTACTATTATCAATTGATATACTAATAAGTGCATCTTCACAATAGCAGGTACAGTACATGTGATTATCATACTGAATGAAAAAATCAGGGCCAGTCCCGTAGCCTAGTGGTTTAAGGAAGCCAGATCTCACATGGGAACCATGGTTTGAATCCCAGTCCCAGTGGAAAAACACAGGGGGCACATGACAGGATAGAGAAATGGAGAAGGGACTGTGGCATGACCATGCGCCACTTGAAGGTTCTCTCTCTCTCCATCCCCACCCCCTCACACACACACATACCTTCAGCAATTAAAAAAAGAAAAAGGAAAAAAAAACCAAAATGGTCTTACCATTACCTGACAATACCAGAATCAAAAGTAATATCTGGCAGACCAGCTGGTTAACCACCAGTATGGTGGTTAAGGCACAGGATTCCACAAGGCTGACTACATGGTTCAAGTCTTGGACCTCGCAACTCAAAAAACACTCCTGGGTGTGTGTATGTGCATGCCACAAATCCCAAAAGCAGGGATAAATGGAGAAGAAGGGGTAATGGTGTAACTATCCACCAGAAGAGAGAGCTTTATCATTTTGCCTCCCTCACTCACTCTCTTTGGTGAACTCAAGTGCCCTCTGGCAAATTAAAAAAAAATTATAATAATGTTTAGCTACAAATTTTCATTTCCCTAAAAGATGTCATGTCTGTTAATTCCAAAACAACAGTTCCATGAATAGAAAATTGATAAAGTGCCACCAATTAAATTTTCATCTTAAGCTGAATTAAGAAAATAACAATTACATAACAAAGAATTATTTTTAAAATTTAGGTTATCTCAAATTCAAACTTATTTACATAGAACTGTAAAAACTTCATTATTTGAGCTAGTTACATCGTCTAATAGTTAAAAGAGCTGGATCCCACATGACTAACCATGGTTCAAATCACAGCCTTGGTAGCTTGAAAGATGTCGGCACATGTACTTATGCCCAAATCCTCATAGAATGGAGAATGAAGGAGAAGGGGTTGTGGCATGTCTCCACCCCACTGGAAGAGGTTCTCTCCTTTCCCTTCTCACTCTGGCAAGCATATACACCCTCTGGCAATTAAAAAAAAATACATACATATATATCACACACACATATATATATGTGTTGTATATTTATGCATATGTATATTATTTTCCCTGTTTATTACAAACAAGGAAACAAAGTTAGCAACTCATCCATGATCACAAAGCTGCTAAATAGGAACCCTACCCAGGCACTCTAACTCTGGAATAGGAGCCCAGAATACAACCACAGCATGAACTACCCCTTTCTCATAAACGAAAAATAAACTAATAAACTTCTTGCCCTATGAATGAAAAATTTCATCAGATTTTGGTTTCTGAGCTATTTTTGGGGATATTAAATTGACTTTCTCAAAAGTTTTTTTGATAGTATATGAATTAAATTATAATGAAACTTCACTTATTTGAAATCTTATTTTTTTTTTTTTTTATTGCCAGAGGACTCATGTGCTTATGTGTGTGGGGGGGAGGCACACACCACCCTAATAAGGTCTGGTCAAATTACAGTCTTTTTTCTTCCATTCCCCATTCTGTCAGGATTTTGGAAACATGCACCCAGTGTGGTTTTCAAGCCACTGGGGCCAGGATTCACATGTACTTATGCCCAAATCCTCATAGAATGGAGAATGAAGGAGAAGGGGTTGTGGCATGTCTCCACCCCACTGGAAGAGGTTCTCTCCTTTCCCTTCTCACTCTGGCAAGCATATACACCCTCTGGCAATTAAAAAAAAATACATACATATATATCACACACACATATATATATGTGTTGTATATTTATGCATATGTATATTATTTTCCCTGTTTATTACAAACAAGGAAACAAAGTTAGCAACTCATCCATGATCACAAAGCTGCTAAATAGGAACCCTACCCAGGCACTCTAACTCTGGAATAGGAGCCCAGAATACAACCACAGCATGAACTACCCCTTTCTCATAAACGAAAAATAAACTAATAAACTTCTTGCCCTATGAATGAAAAATTTCATCAGATTTTGGTTTCTGAGCTATTTTTGGGGATATTAAATTGACTTTCTCAAAAGTTTTTTTGATAGTATATGAATTAAATTATAATGAAACTTCACTTATTTGAAATCTTATTTTTTTTTTTTTTTTATTGCCAGAGGACTCATGTGCTTATGTGTGTGGGGGGGAGGCACACACCACCCTAATAAGGTCTGGTCAAATTACAGTCTTTTTTCTTCCATTCCCCATTCTGTCAGGATTTTGGAAACATGCACCCAGTGTGGTTTTCAAGCCACTGGGGCCAGGATTTGAACCACAGTCAGCCACGTGGGATTTGGCTTTCTATGCACAGCACTTACTCATTGCTCTACAGAAGTGGCATTAAGATCTCATTCTTCTAGAGCTCAGACATTCTAAGAATATCAGATATGCATACTGAGCATGCTTACTGGCAGTTTTAGAAACATATTTTCTTGACCTTTGGTATGATGGGTATGGTACGATTCTTTAAATTTCTTTGGTATACTATGTTATTAAAAAAAATGAAATGACCATGAAACTCACGTGCACAGAATAACTAGAGAACAAGGGAATAATTCCTGGTACTGAAGACAGCATTTTAATACTCGATCATCATTGTTCTCATCACTCAATCCATCTGTAAATTTAGCAAAAGCAACTGTCAATAAGCACACTAAAAATCTTGGTATCACATGAATAATCTAGACTATATTTCAAAATCAAAAACATCTAAAAGTTTTAGGGTAGTAAAACTACTCTGTATGACACTATGATAGATATCTGTTATTACACATTTGTCCAAACCCACAGAATGTACACCACCAAGAATAAACCCTCATGTAAACTACACACTCTGAGTGGGAATAATGTCAGGCTCATCAGCTGTGACAAACGTACCACTCTGGTGGGGGATGATCATAATAGAGGAGGCTGTGCACATATGGGGGAAGGGAAATCTTTTTTTTTTAAGAGATTTTTGCTATAAGGCATATGTACGCACTCGAGAGACAGAAAGAAAGAAAGAAATCACTCCTCAAGTAAGATGGCCATGCCACAATCCTTTCTCCTCCATCTCCTCTTGGGATTTTGGGCATGCACGCACATGCAACCAACGTGAGTTTCAAGCTGCCAGCGTGAGTTTCAAACCGCGAACAGCCATGTGGGTGTCTAGCACCATTGATCCTCAACCTTGCTCCCATTTTATAACCTTTTTCTCTCAAATTTCAGCCTATATTACTTAGTTCTCTAATCATATAAATTAAAAACCCCATTCGTTTATGCAATAAATAACTTATACAGAGCCTAGTTTGTGCCAGGTGCCTATGCTAAGCAGTTGGATATGAAAAGACAAAAAAGCTCGAGGAGTTCATAATCTGGCAGTGAAATCCAGACAACACTCAACTATTTCAAGGCCCGATCCTGAGGGAGACGATTCAGTTCCTTCATCAGATTATCACCGAGCCACACATATAACACAGCAGCCAGCCCTTTTTTTAGGTCAGGGAGCAAATACCTCTAGTAATGCAAAATCGTTAATGAACTTCAAATGATTCCATTCCACAAACTAAAGAAGGTTTAAAGGTAACAGTGCACTGTCCTAAAGGCATCAAACTTCAAGATTACCTGTACTACCACATTTTCTAAAACAACATGGAGCTGGAAGTTACATCTGAAACTCCAAGAATATGCATACAATAGTCGCTCAGCAAATAAGTTTCAGCACCTGTTTAGATACTGTTCGAGAATGAACAAAAGACAGATTCCGGAAACAGACCAATCCAGTTCTGAATCCCCGCTTTCTCACTTACGAGGTGTACATCCTTGGAGAAAGTACCTAACCGTGCTTAAATGAGAATGAATATAAAGCACTTGCCACTTGTAACATCAGGTTGGTGCTCAAAGCGTTTCCAGTTTTGGAGCATTTGGGATTTCAAATTTTCTTATTAGGGATACTTAACCTGTATATATTTATTACTTAAGACTTGGCCTAATAGGTACCTCAACAGCAATAATCACTCTCAACAATAATAATCACCATGTACATATGAAATAAAAGTAAGTTCTATATGAACTAGTTAACAAAATTTTTAATATCTAATATAATTTGATCTCCTAGACATCAGTATTTATTTTTCTTATTCACTGCTCCAACACTTGAATAGTGTCTGGTACAAATATATGGCAAATAAATAAATCAACAAAAATATAATGAAAATATGAAACAAATATCTGGTTGGGGAGTGGCACATTATTTTTGCCCTTACTTAGTTTTCCTTATTGTAAAAAATATTTTAACATCTGAAAACTTAAGGAAATATAAGAAAAGCAAAATAATCTCATCAGCTAAATATAACTACTATTCATTATAAGTACATATGCATAATTAAAATTTAAATTATATCTTATATTGTTTTAATTATTGTTTTTGTTTTTATTTAAAACATGTCATTAAGATTTTCCAAAACTGTGTGTGTGTGTGTGTGTGTGTGTGTGTGTGTGTGTAGCAATGGCAATGTATGCAACATCTACAACTGTCATACAGCTTGTTTTGAATTATTTTGCTGTATAAGTAATGCTATGATGAATATTCATACAAACCACTGTATTTCACATGCTCTCTTTTTTTACTTTGAAGTTTTTTTCTTTCATGAGAGAGAAAAAAACAGATAGACAGGATCCCCAACAGGATCTTGTCATGGTGCAATCCTTCCATGAGCCCTCTAGCCACCTAGATCCACAGGCATGCCCAACCCAGGATCTAGACTCCAGGCTTTCCCACGTGGCTTCAGCATCACACGGCAGTGCCCTACCTCCTACACCACCTTGGCTGAGCCTTTCGTTTTTTTTCAGGATACATTTCTAGAAAGAGAATTTTATCTTAAGCTTCTAAATCCATACAACTGTACTCTAAAAAATGTTATCAAGAGACCAGAAGATGGTGAAATGGTTATGTTACTGGACTTCCACGTAGTCTACTGCAGTTTGAGTCCCGGACCTGGCGGCTTAAACTCACACCCAGCACACGTGCATGCATGCCCAAAATCCTTAGAGGAGAGTGGAGGAGAAGGGAATGCAGCACCATTATTCCCCCAGTGGGGTGATTTCTCACTTTCTGTCTCTCTGTCTCTCCAGCAAGTACATGCACCCTAAAAAAAAGTCATCACTCATGCCGGGCTCATGTGCACACATGCCCAAGATCCCAAGAGGAGAATGGAGTAGAAGGGATTGTGGGGTGGCCATCCCCCGGGGGGTGATTTCTCACTTTCTGTCTCTCTGTCTCTCTCTGTCTGGTGAGCGCACACGCCCTATAGCAAAAACCTCTTAAAAAAAAAAATGTCATCAATTCGTATTCCCAAAGCAATACAGTATTCTAAGTGTTCTCAGTAGTTACTGGAAAAGAATTAACTTTCTATTTTCTTTAAAAAAAAATAATTATTTACTTATTTGCTTAATTCCATTTGTTATTTTTTTTTTTAATTCAACCAGCAAGAGAGGGAAAGGGAGAAAGCAAGCCACCAGGTCCAGGACTCGAACTTCAGTCAGTCATGTGGGAATCCGGTGCCTCTAACCACCACACCACCTGCTGACCCCGGAAAAGAATTAACTTTCTAAATTTAGGAACAATAAAAAGACATAGCATACCAACAGAGTGATACATTAGTTTTTTTCTTATCAACTTGTGTAAGATTTTAAAATAATAAGGACATGAGAGAATTATTGCCTACACTGGGCCATAACCTATCAAGTAGTTTAATATATTAACTCAACCAATTTTCACAGCCATTTTATTATATACAGATTCCCCTCATTTCATTTATTCTGTTTCCTCACTTTTAACATTCCCCAGGTCAAGCTATAAACCTAGGTCTGATTTTAAATCATACATTTCTCTCATTATAACAGAAATTATGTCAAGTAAATGTAATTTTTAAAATAGTTAAGCACAAAGCTAAAGTTACAGACATTTAAGACTATTCAGTACAGAACATCTACACTAATAATGTGTAAACACTGTATCTGAAATATACTAGGACTAATAAACATTAGTTAAGCTAGTAAATAAATGAATAGTACTGGCTGTTCATCTTCAAAAAATTTTAAAAGACTAAACAGTTAGGGGCTAGCAGATGGTGTGGTGGTTAAGGGCGCTAGACTTCCACATGGCCAACGACAGTTTAAGTCCCGGACCTGGTGGCTTGCTTTCTTGCTTTCTCTCTCTCTCTGGTCAAATTAAAATAAATAAAGTCAAATAAATTAATTCTTAAAAAAAGATTAAACAGGTGTGCCAAAAGCCTTCTCAAAGTTAATACCAGGATTGGGGACAGTAAGTGGTGTAATGGTTAAGGCAGTGGACTCCCACATGGCCAACTGAGGTTCGAGTTCTGGACCTGGAGGCTTGAAACTCACAGGTGTATGTGTGTATGTGCATACGTGCCCAAGATTCCCAGAAGAGAATGAAGAAGAAAGGATTGGGGCCTGACCATCCCCCCTGGGGTGGGGGATTGGTTTCTCATTTCTATATCTCAGTCTCTCTCTGTCTCTCTGGCAAGAACACATTCCCTATAGCAAAAATCTCTCTGGGAAAAAAAGGTAATACCATGATTAGATTCATCTTCAGATGAGTTCTGTCAACTGTCATGGTAAACGTGGGTGCAGTAGAGATTAAACAGCCATGATATTTAAAATAATGAAAATAGATATACATAGTTCTGAGTTAAGAAGAAACACATTTTTAAGAAATGAAGAAATATTCTAAACATATATCTAAACTCTGCAAAGAGAGTAGAGTTCCTTTACACAGACTTTTTTCCAGCAAGTTATGTAGTACATAAAGACTACACTTAGGTTCTAGGATAGGAGTTATTTTTTAAATGACTTAAAATTAACACACACACACACACACACACAAAACCAGGAAAATCTATAGATGTTTACTGTAAAGAGACCTCATTATTTAAGATTGGCAGACCACAAGAGAACAACACTTGGCTCTGCAGTGTACGGCAGTCACCCCTTACTTGTGGGGGCTATGTTCCAAGACCTCCAGTAGAATCAAGCAACCAAGGATAATATCAAACCCTACATATTTGGGATTTTCCAAAAATTCATGGAAAAGCTATGATAGAAAAAACATGTGTGGGTTCAAAAGTTTTTGCACTGAGGGCCAGCAGGTGGCGTGGTGATTAAGGTGCTAGATTCCCACATGGTCAACTGTGGTTTGAGTCCTGGATATAGCAGCTTGCTTTCTCACTTTCTCTGTGTCCCTCCCTGGTCAAATTAAATAAATAAATGAAATTAAATAAAATAATTCTTTAAAAATAATGTTTTGCAGCAAAATAAACTTGTATTCTATTTATTTATTTATCTATTTATTTTTTGTGATTTTTGTTTTGTTTTATTGAGAGAGATATTTTTCCTATAGGGCTCATGCGCTCTCCAGAGAGACAGAGAGACAGAAAGCGAGAAATCATCCCCCAGGGGGGATGGCCACGCCACAATCCTTTTTCCTCCATCTTCCTCTTGGGATCTTAGAAACGCACACACATACACTTGGTGTGAGTTTTAAGCCACTGGGTCAAGGACACAAACCGCAGTTGACTGCGGGAGTCCAGTGACGTAACCATTACACCGATCCCCATTTGTTGCGATTTTCAGGCCACCAGGTCCAGTTCTCGAACCACAGTTGGCCATGCAAGAATCCAGCACCCTACCCACCACACCACCTGCTGACCGCTAAACTTGTATTTTAATTCTACTTTTCCACAAAATTTTTGCAGTCCCCTAGTAAATTTTTACACATATATATTTATATATGTACACCCATGTTAAAGTTTAATTTATAAATTAGACACAGTGAGATTAGTAATAACAATAAAATAAAATAATAATAAGGTATAACAAAAGTCATACTAGGGCTGGCTCTACAGTGCAGAAGTAATGCATTCTTCAGGAGAGTTTGCTCCCATATGGGAATCCCAGTTAGAATCCCCAGACTGGTCAGCCTGAGACATGCCAGGCATGCACGCAGGTGCCCAGGATGTGAGGAGCTAAAGGCTTAGAGGAAGCGGACTGTGGCGATGACTATACCCTGTAGAGAGTATTCCTCTCTCTCCCTCTCCCTCTGCTCTCACACGTGCACATACACATTCTATCATAAATTAAGGAAGGCTAGTTTTAAATAAAGAAATAGAAATCATATTAATATGGCCTCTCTCCACACAAAGTATCTTACTATACTGTACTGCCCTACATTGAGACCATGGGTACCTGAAACTGCAGAAAGCAAAACCGAGGATGAGGGAGGACTACTGCACTAACTCTGTGCAGTGATCGTACAGAAGACAGAACACTCGCTGGCCTCATCGCTAAACAATGATTTTATGAAAAGGAATCCAAGGTTCCATAAGACAGATGAATGAATATACAGACAGAATCACACACCCATTACCTGAGACAGAGATACTACCTAAAAAAGTCAAGGTAGGGACACAGAAAAGTAAAAATCAAAAATTCCCAAGATAAGCCACAAACCATAACATCCTTTCCATTTTGTACCCCATGGCTATAGATTCTTTGTAAGTTTTGTACCATCTCCCATCATTAAGAAGTCAGCACCTAAACAAGCTTTAATTAGGAAACACCTTGAGAGAAGGATACTTACAAAGTTTCTGAGATGCAAGTTGTATTGATTGACCCCACAGATTTCTATCTTGATTTTTGAGACTGTCATTGATGAAATGAACTGCAGGTATAGCTTTGTGCTGGGCATGTTTTAGTAATTTTCCTGCCTTCATATGATCTAGTTCTTGAACAACCACCCAAGGAATTATTAACACAAGTCTGTCAAAGCCTAAAAAATAAAAAGACAGCTTAGAATCCAACAAATACTTATTGAGTTGTTAAATCAAACAGCTATAGGAGAAATGAACGTTTTAAATCACATGGTCCCTATTTTTATATAATTCACAACAGGGCCAGCCAGTGGTGTGGTGGCTAAAGCTGACCACAAGGCTGACTGCAGTTCAAATCTCAGACATGACGACTTGAAAAACACACTGCACAGGTGTGTGAGATTTTCATGAAAGAAAGCCAGAATTTGTAAATATGTTCTGTAAATACCTGGTATTTCTGTTGTCTTCAAAATTCTAACAAATTTGAGATGATTCATCAGAACATTTGTGTCAATAACAATCAGAAGCTTTTTGTCTGAAGCAGTATTTGCTAGAGAAAAAGATCAGAGTTAGGATCACATGACACTTGATAAAAGATTTATATAATGACTACAATTCTGATTATCATGGAAGCATAGAAAATTCAGTTAAATTAAAAAAAAAATCCCGGGACCAGCAGACAGTGTAATGGTTATGTCACTGGACTTCCACATGGTCAACCACAGTTCAAGTCCTGGACCTGGCAGCTTGCTTTCTCCTGTTCCCTCTCTTTCTCTCCCTCCCTCTGGCCCTCTCTGGGCAAATTTAAATAAATAAAAGAACTCTTTAAGGAAAAAAAAAAAAACCTGTGTCTTACCAACTCTTATCAGAAAATCACACAGTTGATTCTTTGTGAGTTGGCTAGACTTCCAAGCTGTTCAAGTTACTTGGCCCACCTTCTCATTGCCTAGTAAACTTCTCTCTAAGCAATCAATTATGGGTTCTCTGGAATCACAACCATGTTGGGGTAGGATGGGGGAGTGCATGGGACTCGAGGCCACCAAAGAAGGTGTGGTCTGGCCGAGCAGAAATGGATGAGAAGACCTGGAACCCAAGGTGTGAAGAACCAGCCCAGGAGAATGTTTCTGACAGCATTCATAAGAGAAAGAAGTCCTCTAGACAATGAAAACCAAACTACTACTACTGAAATTCTTAGGAGAAAGAATAGTGACCCATGTTTAATTATTCACTACTGGGATATTATACACTGCTTGTAAGCAAATATTAAATTTTAAGCTGACTTGCCGTGACAGTAAATAGGTTTCTCTAAGTCCTGTCCTGCATCCTTGGTAGTTGTGTATTTATAATGTATAAGCTCATTTTAATACACCTTGAAATATAATTGAAAAAATAAATGTCAAAGAAAACATATAACAATACTAGCATTGTTATTTCACAGAGCCATTCTGAGAATCAGATAAGCGAATGCATAGGACAATAGTGAACTGAAAAATGCAATGTAAATGGAAGGTGTCAATACTATTTATAAACAGAATTGAAAATAGTATACTAATATCTTCCAGATCATTTCTATTATTTTTCTCAGTAGTGAAAATAAAAATTTTACTATATGAACAAGTATTCAAGCAATCTGCATTATTTCTGATTAGTGTTTTATATAGTTGAAACTATAAAAAGTTATGATTAAAAGCAAGAATAAAATACAACTCATAACTCTGATTACTGCTTCTTAGTAAAAAAAGAGAAAATATATTTCACTGCCTACTAGTAGTGTAAGAGATATAAAATAAAGAATAAGACTACTATTACACCCAAAACCTATAGCTGAAAGAAATAGACTATACTTTCTGATTTTAAGCGAGCACATTTCAACAGTTTTAAACCTATAAAGTACAAAACCAAATGCTTGCACGTTAGTCCATAGAGAAGCGCTAGCGATCACAAATGTAACTATACAGGGTATACCAGCGGAAGAATGCACATCATCTGCCACCAAGTCGATGTCCATACTCGTTGTCTCTCCGGGAAGGGAAACCACAGATAAATCCACACTTTTTCCTACACGTGCAGCATGAAGTTCTTCTACTATCTGCATCTAAATTGTAAAAGGCAGTGAAGTAGTTTGAGTTACTATTAACAGCGAAGAAAGCAATTAATTAATTAATTAATTTAAATGAGATCGTTTGTGGAAAGAAATAAATGTGTAAAACTATGAAGGCAACAGGCCAGCAAGTGGCTTTGCGGTTAAGGCACTGGATCCCACATGACCAACCGTGCAGTTTGAGTCCCAACCCAGCAGCTTGAGAAAACATATAGGGTGTATGTGCTTGCATGCCCAAAATTCTGAAGCAAGAGTGGACAAGGCTTGCAGGGTGGCCACCTCCCCAGGGAGATGCTTTCTCACTTTCTCTCTCTCTCTCTCCAGCAGTACACATGCCCTATAGCAAATTTAAAATATGTATATTGGAGGCAACATAATAAAAGAATACAGAGTTATAAACGTATGCAGAGTTTTAAAAACAGCTCTCTTTTTTTAAATTTAATTTATTCATTAATTTATTTTAATTTGACCAGAGAGAGACACACATGGAAAGAAAGAGAGAAAGAACGCAAGCCACCAGGTCCAGGACTTGAACTGTAGTTGACCATGTGGGAGTGTCCAGTGCCTTAACCACCACGCCACCTGCTGGTCCCAAAAACAGTTCTTGTATTACTTCTGCCACCTTGGACAAGCAAATATTTAACTAATTTTGGGTCTCAGTTTGTTTATCTACAAAATAGGAATGTTGATTATTTTCTTTTAGAATTTTTCTGAGGATAAGATAAAAATAATCTCAAACAGCATAGAACATAGAGAACAAAATAATTTCATGCTCATTCCCATTCTCACTTAAAATTACTTTAGGAGCCAAGCATTTTTATCTTGAAAAATTGAGAACTCCTTGAGATTTCTAGGAGTGTTTATGAACCATCAAAAACTGAAATCTAGGAGGCCAGCAGGTAGTGTGGTGGTTAAGGCACTGGATTCCCACATGGCTGACCACAGCTTGAGTCCAGCACTTGGTGGCTTTCTCTCCTCACTTTCTTCCCCTCGCCATAGTGCATATGCCCTATAGCAAATTTAAAGCTAATAATAATATATAAAATTAGATAGGTATTTTAAAAAACTGAAATTTAAATCTTTTAAGATTTATTTATTTATCATTTTTTAAAAATGTGGTACAGGGCACATGTGCTCACCAGGGACAGATAAAGAGAGAGAGAGGAAGTAAGAAAGCAAACCACCAGGTCCAGTACTGGAACCATGGTCAGCCATGTGGGAGTCCAGCCCCTTAATCACTATGCCACCTGCTGGCCCCAAAATCTAAATCTTAAAGACCATTCTGAGTTCAAGAAAACACTTCCCTAACTTTTTTTTTTTGGGGGGGGGGTGGAGGTTTTCGCTACAGGGTGCGTGTGCTCGCCAGAAGAGAGAGACAGAGAGACAGAAATCAAGAAATCAGCCCCCAGGGGGGATGGCCCACTGCAATCCCTCCTCCTTGGGATCTTGGGCACGCACCCGGCATGAGTTTAAGCCACTGGGTCCAGGACTCAAACCGCAGTCGACTACATGGGAGTTCAGCAATATAGCCATTACACTAACTGCTGGTCCCTTCCCTAACATATTTTAATGCAAAGAAATGAAACTACAATCTAACTGGTTTTTGCAGAGCTGAGGAATCTCTTCCATCAAGGGGTGCTAACTGACAGGACATAAAAATATGACTGTCCCAAATTTTTAAAAATACATTATAGGTTAAGTCTTTTTTAAATAGAAAAATGCAGCATATTCTACAAGTCTGATTTTAATTTAAGACAGGAACATAACATTTATGAAAGGTAACCAGGAGAATGTAGCTGGGAAATGAAGCACTGGGTGAAAAGATAAAACACTCATGCATTCTGGTTTTTACTGAGTAACATTTTCACCATACTGCTGCTTAGAAAAAAAATAGGTGAAAATGTTATTGTCATACTGCATTTTGGCAGCCCTTTATGTAAATACACCAAAATATGGTAACATTAAATCTAAATTCAAATAAGTTGTGGGCCCACAGACTACACACTCTTTGTGCAAAACTGATTAGCTTATTAGAAACAATAGTACAGGTAACTTAGTACTTTTCTAAACTTTTTGGTTTCATAAACTTACATAGTGTTTTAATCAGAAACATTACTGTTATTTTCATATCATCAAGGTATTTATAGTCATTTTGTATTAAAAGTAGGAACTGACCAGTAGGTGGCATGATAGTTAAGGCACTGGATTCTACATGGTCAACTCTGTGGTTAGAATCCCAGACCCAGGGGCTTGAAAAACATGCCTGGCACATGTGCATGCATACCCAAAAATCCATAAAAGAAAACAGAGAACAGATTGTGGCATGGCCGACCTCCCTGGAGGGTGGTTTCTCACTGTCCTTCTCTCTCTCTCTCCAGTAGGTACCATATGGCAAAAATCTAAAAGAAAAGGAACTGTTTGGCTTAATGTTATTAAAAATATTCAAAGCAGAGGGACCAGTTAGCGTAATTGCTATGTCGCTGGACTCCCACGTAGTTAACCGTGGTTCACGTCCCGGACCCAGTGGCTTAAAACTCATACTGGGCGCGCGTGTGTGCATGCCCAAGATCCCAAGAGGAGAATGGAGAAGAAGGAATTGCAGCGTGGCCATCCCCCCTGGGGGGAGATTTCTCACTTTCTGTCTCTTTGTCTGTCTCTGTCTGGCGAGTGCACGCACCCTATAGCGAAAACCTTTTCAAAACAAAAATATATATATATATTCAAAGCAGGGTCCACCAGAAGACATAATGGTTACATTGCTGGACTCCCACATAATTAACCACAGTTCAAGTCCCAGACCTGGTTGCTTAAAACTCTCACCAGGCACATGAGCATAAGTGCTCAAAATCCTGAGAAGAGAATGGAGGAGAAAGGGATTGCGGGGCGGCCATGCCCCCAAGGGGTGATGTCTTGCTTTCTGTTTCTCTGTCTCTCTAGCAAGCACACCCGCCCTATAGCAAAGATTTCTCTCTAAAAAATTATATATATAGATATATGTATATACATACACACACACACACACATATATGCTCAAAATAAATAAGTATATTAAGTAACCTCTTGATCTGTATCTTGAATACTTTCCGGTGACAATGAAGAACATGGTGCTTCCAAAATCTGAAAGAAAAGTAATTTTATTAGGTAAAAATACAGTATAAAGAGTAGGACTTGTCAATCATGGTATTATTAACCTTTGTGGTCAGATATTTCATTTGGGGGGCTGTCTGATACAATGTAGTATATTAAGAGCAATCCTGCCCTCTTACCCACAGGACGTCAGCAGCAGTAACCATCTGTCCAAACCCCTTAGACAGCCCATGGTGACCAAGCAGGGTGCTGTGCATGGTAGCTAAGGCTGCATAGGAAGCCTGGTTCAGTTAGCGGCCCAACCCAAACAGCCTGGCATGGCAGCACACATCTCTGTTCCTAGTTAACTGGGAGGATGAGGCAGGAGGACGGGAACTTAACAAGACCATGTGAAAAATACCTCTCTCTTCCCCCTTCTCCCTGATTTAAAAAATTTCTTAAAGTAAATATATAGGGAACCAGCAGTTAGCATAATGGCTATGTCGCTGGACTCCCACGTAGTCGACTGCAGTTCGTGTCCCGGACCCGGTGGCTTAAAACTCACGCCGGGCACGTGTGCGTGCATGCCCAAGATCCCGAGAGGAGAATGGAGGAGAAAGGATTGCGGCGTGACCATCACCCCTGGGGGGTGACTTCTTGCTTTCTGTCTCTCTGTCTCTGTCTGTCTGTCTGGTGAGCGCATGCGCCCTATAGCAAAAACCTCTTAAAAAAAAAAAAAGTAAATATATAAATAACTCTCCAGGAATAGCCAAATTTCCCGAGGGGTGAGACTGTCCCCTGATGAAAAATAGCTGCTAGGATAGAAAAACCTCATAGGTCACCCACAGCACACTGGTTGAGCACAGTGGTTGACTGCACTGTGTAGGGATAAGGAGTTCATGTGGTTGACCATGGTTCAGGGGCATGCCCTGGCAGCTTGCAAAATATGCCGAGCTCATGTGTGCTGCTGGGTTGCATGTCTAGGATCTTGACAGGGCTGCATGAAATCTGGCTAAACTACGACGCTTTGAGGCTGGCCCTATGTCTTACTAAATATTTAGATTCTCCTACACTAAAAAGTGCCAAGCAAGCTGGAGATTATGATCGGCACTTTCTGCAGCTTCTGATATCCTAAGTCTCTTCATTCTTCCTTAGGTCACTACTATCCTTTGTTCTCTTTGACCAGTGACTTTGATAAATTTTCCATCGCTCAACAATTCAGAAAAGCTCACGTCAGCTGGCCCTGCAAACTTCTCTCTAGTAAATGAAAGTCCTAGGGGACATTTCACTGTTTGCCTTCCTCTACCACGCTGTATTAAATGCATGGATTGGGATAAAGCCTTTCTGAGGATGACAAAAAAGGAATATCAATAATAAGGATAATAATGGTTTTATCAACCAAAGTGATTCTAACTGAAAAAGATTACATATTGTTTCCCTGATTATGCTTCAGTGGCCCTCATCAATCTATAGAACACAAGAAAAAACAAAGCTGAGAAGCCTTGATCCCCAAATCCTGAAACTCAAAATGCTCCAAAACTCAAAACTTTTTGTGAATCAACATAATGCCTCGAGTGGAAAATTCCATACCTGACCTCATGTGGTGGTTGCAAGTAAAACACTGTGGTACAAAAACTTTGTGTAAAATTACCTTCAACCTATGTGTGTAAGATAGGAGGGCCAACTGCTGGTGTAGTGGTTAAGGTGGTTGGATTCCATAGGGCCAGCTGTGGGGTTCAAATCCTAGACCCAGCAGCTTCGGAAATGTGCTGGGCATGTGGTTATGCATGCCCAAAATCCCAAAAGGAGGGAGAAAAGCAAGGCAAGAAACTGCAGCTTGACCATTCTCCATAGAAGGTATTTTCTCACTTTCTCTGTCTCTCTCCACCAAGTGCATATACACTGTGCAATTTTGTCAAAAGGTATATATAAAAAATACTGAATTTCATACTTAGCCTTGGGTCACATCCCAAGATGCATTATTATGTATTTGTGTAAATATTCTAAAATCTGAAAAGTCTGAAATTTAAAAACCTTTGGTGACAAGTACTTCAGATGAGGGATACTAAACCTGTACAGTCTTCCCCATGAGATACAAAATCATCCATGGTCTGGATGCTGGCTTCCTCTCCAACTTCCAGAGTCTCTACACATCTCAATTCTAACAATACAAACCTGGGTGCTCTTGTACCTACTTCCATGTCATTTCACAAGTCTAGGCCAACACACAGTGACCCTGGCTAGACAGCACTTCTATTCTTTGCTCTATACATTTTCCAAGACTACCTCAGGGAGCCCTTCCTTAACCTATCCAGGGATTATAACATCACACCTACTTTTAGAGCACTGAGATTTACTTCACTGTAGATTTATTTCACTGTTTAACTGATCTGCCTCCATGGAAGTGCTTTTTTTTTTTTTTTTTTTATTTGCTAGAGGATGTATGTGTAGAAGAGAAAGAGAGAGAGAAAGTAAGAAAGTAGCCTCCATGGAGGATGGCCACCCTGGATCCCTATTCCTCCCTTTCTCCTTTTGGGATTTTGGGCATACATGCACACATACACACCCAGTATGCTTTTAAGCCTCTAGGTCCAGGACTTGAGCTGTGCAATCCACCATGTGGGATGGAACTACCCTGACTACCACCACACTGGCTGGCTCTTTTATTTCCCTTGGTTTTGCATAGGGCACATGTGTTCACCAGAGATAGAAAGAAGTGAGAAAGCATCCACCATGGGGAATAGTCAGGTCACCCTACAATTCCTTCTCTTCCATTTCTCCCTCCTTTCGTAATTTCTGGCATAGACACACTGGTCCAGTATGTTTCCCAAGATGATGGGTGCAGGACTTGAACCACAGTTGGCCATATGGGATCTAGCTGCCTTAATAACCATGTCATGGCTGGCCCCTTTGGGACTTCTCAAGGGTAAAAATTATCTTTTTCATGTCTAATCTTTAGCATCTAGAAAAGAGCCTGATATACAAGACATACCTTTAGTTAATTCCTACCTCACAGGCTTATAAATAGTAAACGGAATGCTGTTTTCAAAAATGACCTATAAGAACTAGCGAATGGTGTGGTGAGTAAGGTGTTATATTCCCACGTGAGACTGTGGTTCAAGTCCCAGACTTGAAAATGCATGTATACATGTGCATGCCCACGTATACACACCCTGTGTGATTTTCACTTGAAAATCACACAGGGTGTGTATACATGAATGCCCAAAATCCCAGGAGGAGAATGGAAGAGAAGGGACTGTGGTGTGGCCATCTCCCCTGGGAGGTGATTTCTCACTTTCCTTCTCTCTTTCTCTGGTGGTAAGAAAAACAATAAATAAAAAGTAAAAATAGCCTATTAATAATCATAAATCCCTCTAACACTGATGTACAATGTGGGGGAATATTGCAAACTGAGGTCATCTATATTAAAGGACTATAACATCTTAGAAACAAAAGTTATTTTCTCTTTAGGAATGCATAGCAGAATTACTAAATAACGAGATCACCAAACCCAGAAATTTCAATTATTTTCTTGTAATGTACACAAATTATTTCAGGAAAGTAATTACCTACAGAGGAAGTAATAAGTAAAACAAAACAAGAAGCATGGTATTAAGATGATTTTCTAATGTCATTAATATGCTGAAGACACCATATGCAAGATATGGACAATATTTACTTGCTGCTCCTGTGTCTAAATGACTATAAGCACAGAGGATGGCAGGTGAAGGCAGAGGGAGAGAGCCCTATAGCAGCATTTATAATCCATTCTCACAAGAGCTGGGCCTTGTGCACTCTCACAAGACAGCATTAATCCACTCAATAGGCAGCACCACCATGATCCAGTCACCACTCACCAGGTCTCACCAACCCCCAACTGCATTGCATTGTCAACCAAATTGCAAAGCACAAGCCTTGAGTTCACGTGTCCAAAGCAGCATCCTCTAAACCATAACATGTACTGAACAAGGAAATGCCAAGCAATGACACAATGATGATCAGTGAACACACTGGCAACTTCGAGGACCTTCTTTACTGTAGGGAATTATTTATAACATATGAAGAATAAGTTTTTTCCCCTTTAAGAAAGCAGTATAAAGAATAAGTGCATTTTTTCCCCTTTGAACTCTCTTTCGAGTTCACTTGACCTAAAAATACGCCCTCTCAAGTTCTCCTGGCCTCCTTAGATATAATCCTCCATTTCCAAAAGAAATACCTTAATACTGCAATCCACAGCTTTAATACATAAAAGGAGGTAGCCTTACTCACTTGTTTATAAGCAGTCTTTCAATTTAACAGCTTCCAAAGTTCTGAAGTTCCTAAGTTTTTGGGGTTGTTTTGGAGAGGTTTTCACTATAGGGCACATGCGCTCGCCAGAAAGACAGAGAGACAAAAAGCAAGAAATCACCCCCGGGGGATGGCCACGCCACAATCCCTTCTCCTCTCGGGACCTTGGGCACACACGCACACGCGCCCAGTGTGAGTTTTAAGCCACTGGGTCCGGGACTCGAACTGCGGTCAACTACATGGGAGTCCAGCGATATAGCCATTACGTTAACTGCTGGTCCCTGAAGTTCCTAAGTTTTATAAATTTTCTTAAAGGTAAATAATTGTATTTGTTATAGAAGCAAAGCACCTAGAAATTCTCCAAGAAAACCACAAATGCCAATTCAGTACATAACTTGGAAGCAAAACAAATGTGCCACACTTTCCAGCCTGGAACTCTGCTCATGCACGCAGTTCCATCTTCCCAAAATACCCCCGTTTATCCCGTCCTGCCCCACTACATCTTCCCACGCGTAACTTCTACTCAACTGTTAGTCTTCAGTTTAAATGTTACCCCTCCAGTAAGCCTTTATTAACTAATCCCTTCTTGGTGTACCAAGGTTACAATAATCGCCTCCTGTGGGTTCTCATATTAAGTAATAAATATCTCACTTGTGAACATATTTAAGGCAATCACTTGTGTTTCTCCTCACATAAATAAGGCTCTGAAAATAGAGACTGCACGTTCCTTACAGATGATTTTGTTGCAGTGCCTGGCATACACTGGTGCTGAGAAAATAATTTGTTGAAGGAACTGTTCAGAATATTAACCCTTGGGGGGGAAAATTAACCCTTGAATATTCTCTAGCAATTGGAGTTAGAGAAGACCTTGAGATTGTTACAGTATTTTCTTTTTAAAGGACTATATGTAACTACTACTTCCTACATTTTTACACATTGCTTTCTATTACAGTCTCTTGTTTTTGTTTTATTTACTTACTGAGAAAAGAGAGAGGAGAGACAGGCGCTCTGGACAGGGTCTTCATGCTGTGATCCTGCCCCTGTCCCTGCAGTCAGCCAAGATCACAGAGCACTTGATGTGCTCAGATAGGCCTGAACCCAGAGCCTACTTTACGGCCTCCAGCACTGCGCAGCAGCGCCTTCCCACGTACACTACTGCTTGTGCCACTCCAGCTGGGCCTATTATGAACCCTTGAGAGCTGCTAGATAGCTTTCTAGGAAGGTGGAATTAAACCAACAGACACCCTTCTTGACTAAATTTGAATTAGCCCTTTATGACTACTGCCAGTAATAAAAACAACTCAAACCTGACTACATTCAAACTCTCCACTAAAACCTGTATTCCTGGGGCCAGAAGGAGGCACAGAGGTTGAAGCAGCTGGATCCCATGTAGCCAATTGTGTGGGTAGAGTCCTGTACCCAGGGAAGAGAAAAATACACCAGGCCCATGTACATGCATGCCAAAAACCTTAAGAGAATGGAGGAGAAGGGATTACAGAACGGCCATCCCCCTGGGGGAAGGGGTGATTTCTTGCTTTCTATCCCTATCGCTCCCCCATCCCCCTTACACATGCATCTTATAGCAAAACTTGAAAAACAAAACAAAACAAAATCCTCTGTTCCTCATTCTGTTCTTCCTTACCTGAGTTAGGTTTTCACTAGAATTTGAATCATAATTTTCCTGATGTTCACGATGATATTTTCTTTTCCACTCATGCACATTCTTCTTATATGTGGAATCTGAAAATAAACGTTTGCTTCTGTGCCTAGTCAAGTTTAACAAAGCCTGGGAACTTTCCAAAAATTTATTCTTCTGTTCAGTCACTGACTTGCTAGAATCTGAACTGAAGACATTCTCTTCTACAGGTTTCTGGAGGCCATCACGGGATTTTGTCGGGATTTTGAAACTGATCTTCCTTCTAGATTCAAAAGGTTCCTTAATTATCTTGTTGGGACTACAATCCTGAGAAGATTGGCTTTGCTGGCAATTCTCCAAGACACATTTCTCAGAACTATCTCTAAACTTACTGCTCCTTTCTTTCTGAAGGTCTTTCACCTTCTCCTTTTGAGCAAGTAAGTGATGCCATTTCTTTTCACTTGCCAGGCCTTCAGCTTTAGATTTCATATCTTTGACAGTACGAGGGCTGCTAAGGTTCTTGATTCCATGATCAGGTTTACCTCTCATATTTGTCAATTTAGTATCTTTAAGTTCAAAATCTACACATTTACTTGTATGTTTTTTAGTTCCATTTGAAGAAGGACTCTGAGAAATAATTGGATTATCATTTGATGATGATGATGCTTTCTGAAGCTTAATTGGTCCTTGGGATAAACAACTGCTTTTTGGCCTCTTTCTTGAAGAGTCATTCAATCTGTAAAGCAGCACAGAAACCTGGGTTACATTTCAATGATATATTATGCTGCACTGTCACATTTTAGTTAGAGATGACAGAACTGGGCTGGCACCAAACTTCATAAAAAGAAGTGGCGGGACCAGCAGGTGGCGTAGTGGTTAAGGCACTAGACTACCACACAGCTGACCACAGCTGGAATCCTGGACCTGGAGGCTGACTCACACCTGGAGCATGTGTGTGCATGCCCAAAATTCCAAGAGGAGAACAGAAGAGAAGAAACTGTGGCATGGCAATCCCCTAGAAGCAGTGATTTCTCACTTTGTCTCTGTCTCTCTGTACACCCCCTAGAGCAAAAATCTCCCTCTCTCAAAAGCAAGAAATGGCAACATTGAGAATGAAGCAGAAAGGACTACTTAAGAGATGATGTAGAAATAATTGGTTTGCACTTTAGGGGGGAAAAATTATAACTTTATATAATACCAGACAACATAAATTCTAAATGGATTAAACACATAAGTGCAAAACTGTTATTATTATCTGGATTTTTTACAAATTATTATTATACAAGTTGCTACACCTCATATTAAACCTTTAAAAATTAGAGGGGAGCAAAGGGAATGTTTATCTGATTTCCTAACAGAGACTTCCTAAACTTAACAACAGTGAATGAAATTTAAAAACAAACAAAAAGGGGCTGACAGGTAGCATGGTGGTTAAGGCAATGGATCCCACACGACTGGCTGCAACGTGCTCAAGTACCAGACTAGCACCTTGAAAATCATCCCAGGTGTGTGTGCATGAGTGCCCAAAATCCTGAGAGGAAAATGGAAGAGAAGGCATTTCAGCATGGCCATCCCCCTGGGGGTGATTTCTCACTGTCCCTCCCTCTGCCTCTCTCCAGCCAAGTGCATGAACCCTATGGCAAAAACCGTAAACAAACAAACAAGCCCTGATAGGGATATAATTATTCACTTTAAAACTATAGGGGCTGGGAGGCGGTATGGAGGACAAGGCAGCTGGATCCCCTATGCCAATTTCACAGTTAGAATCCCAGACCCAGTGGCTTAAAGAATGCACTGGGCACATGTGCATGTGTGCCCAAAAGCCTGAAAAGAGAATGGAGGAGAAAGGACTGCGGCGTGGCTATTCCTCTGCTCCCCTGCCCCAGGGGGCAGATGGAGATTCCTCACTTTCTCTCTCTCTGTCTCTCCAGCAAGCATACACACTCTACAGCAAAACTTAAAAAAAAAAAAAAACCTTAGCATACTAAAGAGAAATAAGCATTAAAGAACTGGGAAAAGTTATTTGTTAGAAAGATAACAGTTTACTAGCCTTAAAAGATCCAAAGTTCATTAAAAAGTACTAAGACTTGCAGGGCCAGCAGGTGGTATACTGTTTAAGGCACTATATTCCCACGTGGCTAACTGTGGTTCGAGTTTTCAGACCCAAAGTTTTGAAACTTGCAACAGGCACATGTGCATGTGTACCCAAAATCCCAAGAGGAGAATGGAGAAGGGATTGTTATGTGGCCATCCCTCTGGAGAATGATTTGTCACTTTCTATCTCTGTCTCTCCAGTGAGTGTGCATGCCCCATAGCAAAATCTCGTAAAAAAAAAAAGTACTAAGACTCTAAGACTTGGGCCAGCAGGTGATACAAAGGTTAAGGGGGCTAAATCCCACATGGCTAACTGAGTGGTTTGAGTCCTGGACCCAAGGCTTGAAAAACACACCAAGTGTGTATGTGTGCATGCTCAGTATCCTGAAAGGATAATGGAGGAAAAGCGACTGCAGTGTGGCCATCTCCCTGGAGAGTGATTTCTCACACACACACACACACACACACACCCTGCCGGTCTCTCTTTTGTGAGTGCATGTGCTCCACAGCAAACTTTAAAAAAAAAAGGATTAAGACTCTGGGATGGGAAATAAACAGAAAATTAATAAAAGACAATGGCTAGTAAACATCTGAAAAAGAAGGGTTGACTTCCGTAGTAATCACAGACATACTAATTGTAGCATTTTCTTCCATCAAATTAGCAAAGATTTTATAATAACAATAAATATGGACAAAGGGTTGTAAAATGGACCCTCTCATTTGCTGCTGGTGAAAATGCAAGATGATATGTAGCAGCTCTATAAAGGAAATTGGTAATATAAATTAAGAGTTTGGAAATTTCATACTCTGACTTCTCATAATTCCTACTTTAGACATCTGTATAAAGGTGAAAAAAATCAGGTGAAATAAACTAAAAGATAGATAAAAAGATATTCAATTCAGGATTATTTGTAGCAACAAGAAATCAGGTGGCCCTTGTCAGCAGCTGGCATGGTGATTAAGGCACTAGACTCCCACATAGCCAAACGTGGTTTGAGTCCCAGACTTGGCAGCTTGAAAGTCACACTGGGTATGTGTATGTATGTGAGCCTGAAATCCCAGGAAAATGGAAGAGAAGGGACTGCCACGTGGCCATCCCCTCGGGCGGTGATTTCCTATAATCTTTCCCTCTTTCTCTGGCGAGCATGAGCACAAATCTTAAAAAGAATGTACAGTAATATTAAGAAAAATAATCAGCACCAGCTCCGTGGCACACTGGTAATGCACTACTCAAGAGAAATCAGATTCTATATGGTGAACACAGTTTGAATCTCCGGCTCGGATGGCCTGAAATATGCTAAGCACATATGTAAGTGCCCAAGATCTAACAGGCTGGAGGACTGGACAGGGTAGTAACATGACCAGACCCAGCAGAGGTTGGTCCTTTCTCTCTCACACACACACTCTCATGTACCTGCTCACATTCCCTATCACAAATGAAGAAGAAAAAAACAGAAAATTCAATAATCATAACCTATGATAAAGTTAATGATATAAGCATGCAAAACAATACTAATACGGTAAATAAAATCCAAATCTAAGAGCCAGCAAGTAGCATGGTGGTTAAGGCTCTGGACTGCCACATAGCCAACTGCAGTTTGAGTCCCAGAGCCAGTGACTTGCTTTCTCACTTTCCCTCTCTCTAACTCTCTCTTGCTCTGTTTCTCTCTCTGGTGAGCACATGTGCCGTACAGCAAATTAAAAATATACATTATATTATATATTTATATAGAGTTTATACATAATGTTACATTTATTATAATTTTATATATTACATATTATATATAATATTAATATATAATAAAATATATATTCAAATGAATACTTCTTTTTTAAACAATCCAAATCTAAATATTTAGTCTCACAGCTCTAAGACATAAAAGTAAAAAAAAAAAAAACAAGAAAAAGAAGGAATTTACCTTTTTGGTTCCTGTTTTCTTTTTGTATTACAGTACAGAACATCTGCATGATCTGGTTTCTGAAATTAAAAAAAGTTTATTACTTAGGAAATATGATTGTACACTGGTACTATAGTTACAAAGAAAGATTAGAAGACAATATATATTTTCCATAGCTGTGTATTAGTGAATAGTCTGACAAAATAATTAACTTAACCCTCCAATAAGCTAATAAAAGAGATACTATCATCATCTGTATTTTATGGATAAAAGCAATGCTCAAACAGAGGTAGATATCTTCCACCAACACCGCAAAGCAAGTCAGTAGCAGAACCACGATTTGAAATCAGACTTGTCTGACCCTACTAAACCATCTTGTCTATGTACTGTGGGGACAGGATCACGAGAAAGACAAGAGAAGACATAAGATATCCTCAAGAGCTTAAAGGGGACCAGCAGTTAACATAATGGCTATGTCGCTGGACTCCCACGTAGTTGACCGCGGTTCGAGTCCTGGACTCAGTGGCTTAAACTCACACCAGGTGTGTATGCATGCGTGCCCAAGATCCCGAGAGGAGAACAAGTAAATTCTTAAAATCACAATTGTGCATGTCTGTTTCTCTCATATTCCCCACAACCTGTAGCAATCCTAAATATACACTCCACTGCAACTCAAACATGGTGAGTTCTTCACCAGTCACCCAGATTAGCTAATGTGCTTAATCTGTCATCATGGCTTCTATTATTTGTGGAAGAGTAGGAAGAACTCTGGACTTGATTTTGTTGTTGTATACAGTTCTCTGACCTCGGACAAATCATTTAACCCTCTGGATCTCAATGAAAATGTAAGCAATATACAGTCACGGGCCACATGACGATCTTTCAGACAGTGACAGATCGGATATACAACAGTGGTCTATTCATTATAGGCTCTATCATATAGACTAGGTATGTACTAGGTTATATCACTAAGTTTAAATGACAGTATAAGTACACGCTATAATGTTTACATAATGACAAGATCGCCTAAGGATACATTTCTTAGAAATGCATCCCTATTGCCAAGTGACACATGATGGTATCTGCCTTGGCTACCTCAAAAGGAGACCATAAACACAAATATAACTGTATATCTGAGAAGACTTAAAAACTGTCTAAAATTGGGGCCAGCAGGTGGCATGGTAGTTAAAGGTGCTGAATTCTCACACGGCCATCAGCGGTTCGAATCCCAGACCTGATGGCTTGCTTTCTTGCTTTCTCTTTCTCTGTGTCTCTGTCTCTGTCTGGTCAAATTTAAAAATGATAATAACAATTGTAGTTAAATAAATAAACCATTCTTTAAAAAAAAAAAAACTGTCTGAAGTTATATCCACGTTGTCTAATTCCACATGGTTCTGTCAAACAGCATAAGAAATAAAGAACATAATAAACGCTTTTTGGTGAGTAGAAGGAAAAGGAAACTGGCTTAGCTTCCATTGGCTATCAAAAACTAAGTACAGGCCTAGCCATGGGGCACACACATGGAGCCTCATAGAAGAACGCAGTTCCGATCCTAGGCTGGCCTAGAAGACGACACATGCTGTGATGCTGGCTGGCCAGGAGGTGAGTCACAGCATGACGAGACCCTGTTGGGGGTGTCTATTCCCTTTTCTCTCTGTCTCTCTCTCAAAAGAAATAAACTTTCAAAAAATTATGGAAAAGTAGTGGGAAAAAATTTTTATCCTAACCCCCCTAACTACACATTTAAATAATTTTTATTTATATTTAAATAAGGAAGTTAGTTATGGAATCAAACCACTCACCAGTTTTCTCTTCTCTGATGAAGCTGATCTTACAGCATAAGCTGAACTAGTAGAACTTGCTGAGGTTTTTTTCTCTTTCTTGTCCTAATAATGCCATTTGGAAAAAGAAACCCAAAATAAGAAAAGCACAAAATAAAAAATTTTTAAAAGCATAAAATAAAGCACAGTATAAAACAATATTATTTTATCACTGTTATTATAAATCAACATTTCCAGTCAATAATAAACTTCGAAGGGGAACGACATTTAAAGAATCATATACTTTGCTAAAAGGAAGGGAGGCTCAAGTAGAAGGGAAACTTAAGTAGATATCAAAAGTCTTCAGTGGGGACCGACAGGTGGCATGGTGGTTAAGGTGCTGGACTTCTACATAGTTGACTGCAGTTCAGGTCCCAGACCTGGTAGTTTGCTTTCTCACTTTCCCTCTCTTTCTGTCTCTCTCTCTCTCTGGTCAAATTTAAATAATAATGATAAAAATAATAAATAAAATACTTTTTTAAAAATGTGCTCAGTGTTTGTAATTAGAGATGACATCAGATACAGGGATTATTGTAGAATGCCTGACAGTTCAGAAAAGGAGGTGATGAAGGGGTACTACCAGGGTGAGATTCAGTCTTCCAGAAAGCAAAACCATGTATCCAGTTATTTTTGAGTGCATCCTGAATTCAAGAGAGCCCCAAGACAAACTTGTTTAGAGTACCTACCATGGACCCAAGATGTTTTAGACAGCAGAGAGAGAATAATAAAGAAGCAATAAAAGTCCCTGCTTTCACAGAGATTAAAATATAAGGGGCTGGCAAGTGGTGTGGTGGTTAAGGATGCTGGACTCCCACATGGTCAACTGCAGTTCGAGTCCTGGACCTGGCGGCTTGCTTTCTCACTTTCTCTTTTTCTCTCTCTCACACACTCTTGCTTAGTCCCTCTCTGGTCAAATAAAAATAAATATATAAATAAATAAAGTTAAATAAAATAATTATTTTTTAAAAATCTAATATAAGAATTTACAAATAAGTAATAAATATAGTTAGATGATGCTAAGGGAAAAAAATTAAGCAGGAATGCCTGGAGCTGGGCTTGAGGGAAAGTAAGATTTCCAATTTTAAATAGTGCAATCCAAAAAGATCCCAAAACCTTGACAACTGTATGGAGACACAAACTAAGTGAAAATACAATGTGACTATCTAGCAAAAGAGTTTTCAATTCAAAGGGAATGCTAGCAAAAGCAAAGCCCCAAATTCCAGAGAAAGGAATGTGCCTGGCTTGTTGAATCAACAGTAAGGAAGCCATGGAGTGGAAAAACAAACAGAAAGAGTAGTGACAAGGAGATGAAGAGTTGAGTTAAGTAGCTTTGTCAGAATTTAGTTTTTACTGTGAAAGAAGTGGAAAACTGCAAGAAAGTACTCGGCAGAGGGGTTACATGATTGGACTTACATTTTATTAGGACCACCTGGCTGCCACGTAGAAAACAGACAAAGGCAGAAGCAAGGAGATCAACTTAGAAGCTATCTGAATAATCTAGGGCAACAAGTTGATTGCTTGGCTCAAGGTGGTAGCAGCAGAAGAGAAAGTCAGACTTTTTTTTTTTTTTTTTTTTTTTTTTAAGAGAGAGATTTGTGCTATTGGGCATATGGGCTCATGGGAGACACAGTGAGAGACAGAAAGCCAGAAAGCAGCCCCCAGGGGGAATGGCCAAGATGCAATCCCCTCTCCATTATCCTCTCAGGATTTTGGGTAAATAGACTCTTAATATAGTACAAAGAAAAAGCCATGGAGCCTGCAGGCAATATAGTTGTTAAGGCACTGGACTTGCACATGGTCGATCAGAGTTTGAGTTCCTGACCCAGTGGTTTGAAAATGAAACTGAGCAAGGACCCCCTAATGTATTTTCTAAGGTTCTTGAAATATGAGTCCGTATACATTGTAATGGCCCAGAATAAGGAGTAAGTCCTCAGACTCTGGTTCTGATAATGACCAACATGGACCATGAATGAGGGTCATTTGACCTCTAAAACTCTCACTTAAAGGAAAGGTAAGGTTTTCATTTCAATATGCAAGATGTTTTGTAGGCTGAAAACTGCTGGTTGTGAGCTCAGAGACTCTAGGCTGAATGGCTCCAGAAACCTGAAGAGAAATTTAAGTATCTAAGGCCTCAAGAACGCCTATGAGATGATCAAGAATGCCCATGAGATGATCACGCCCTGTTGAACCAATCACTGAACTGATCATGCACCTGGGACCTCTGCCCCTAATTTTGCCCTTAAAAACGCATGTGGGGAACATCTCGGAGAGACCGGGTCTTTTCAGCATGAGCTGCCCACTATCCCTCCTTTGTGCTTTGCAATAAAGCTGTACTTTCCTTCATCGCACCATGTGCCTACGGTTTGGTTTTAAAGCGCTTGGGTGAGTGAACCTGATTTGGTTTCGGTAACAAAAATTACGCTGGTGAGCATGTGCACCCAAAATCCCAGGGGAAGAATGGAGGAAGAGGGAGTGTGTGTGGGCAGCCCACCTGGGAGGTGATTTTTCTCTTTCTCTCTCTCTTTTGTGAGCACACAAGCCCTATGGCAAAAATCTAAAAAAAAATTTTTAAAAAAAGAAGAGGAGGAAGAGCAAAGAACACTGAGACACAGTCACCAGTGAGGAGAAAAATCAGGTGAGTATGATGTCTCAAATGCTAAGGAAAGAAAGTATTTCAAAGAAAAGGCATAATTAGCTATGTCAGCTAGCTAATCATGTAAGTCAGAAAATAACGAGAGTGGTAAAAGTAAATGGCTATGGCTTCTCCTAGGTCAGCTGGGTAGAACAAAAATACTTGCATACCTCATTGTAAAACTGAAAGGTATTTAATTCATTACACAAAACTATATTATTAAAAAAGTTATCTTTAGGCCAGTAAATCAAAATTCTTACTTCATCAGAGGTGGATGATGATGTGGTACATCTTCTCTGAGACGTCTCTTTTTTTCTACAGGGTTCCTTATTGGACATTTTGAAAAGCTAAAATAAGCATAAGAAAACATATTTTTTACCATAATAAGAAATACATTAGAAATTATCCTTCTTTCAGTACAGACTGGAATTTTATAAGATGATTTCCACTTTCTAACCCTTTCTAAGATAACAAGATTTTCTCTCATTGTTTTTTCCCTTCACTTAGATTTGTAACTGCCCTAAGAGAACAAAAGTGACCGTATTATACTTAGTCTTGGAATCTAAATAGATTAAAGCTTAGGAAAATTAATCCTTAACTTTTAACTTTCATTTCACAGTATTATAAAACCTAACCTTTAACCTCCTTCACAAAAGATAAAGCCTAATGCTTAACTGATGAAAATTAACAATAACCTCTCTAAGTCTTTACAGATGGCAGGCTATGAAAACAGGAAAGAGAAGATTTTATCAACTCAAGCATTGTAAAGCCAAACCTAGTTTCTAAACCGGGATCTAAGAGTTGTCTTGACTGACTCCATTTGCTTCTGCTGCCTTGTTAATCACTGCTTATCTTTAAGATCCTTGAAGAGAACAGAAACCAGTCATTCTTAGGTACATGCCAAGAAGGGAAACTGACTCCCAAGCAGCTGCTCCAATTGCTATCACATCTCTCCATGATCCTGTGAAGACATGGCTGGGCCTCCTCATCATTTTGCCCCAAGATAATGAATAACTTGTGCTTTGTTCCTCCTATGCAAGTTCTGTATCTTGTCCAGTCTGGCAGAGAAGAAAGACTGTCGTCTGTTCCCTGTGGTTGGCCTCACTGAATAAATTTCCTTATTCATCAAATTTTGTGTCTGCCGTGAAGAGCATGGATTAGGTTCCCTGAAAGAGCATCTCTGCCTGTTCAGGATCACACAAGGATCTGTTCCTCTCCGCTTCATCAACTGCGTTTTTTTCGAAAGACCCAAAATGCCAACGAGCATTTGGGTCTCCTCTCTTAAACATCAGACCAACATTCTCATCTGTCTGCAGGAATG